GTCTAACGTCCCATTCCCGATGGATAAGTAATATACCAGCCAGTGTTTAGTGTCCAAACCATCAAATTTCTAAAGATAGGTCAAAATGCTTTCTGCATTTGTAAGGATTGGTACTAGGTAATCGAGCTTTCCTTTCAAAGGGACCCTTTTAAAAGTTTATTTTTTTGGGGTGGGGGGGGTGGAACTGCGCAGGCTTCGTGATATGGCATACTTTTCCTATCAGAAATTAAAGAATCTACGGCGAAGGTCGGTACCATCAGTTTCGTCAATGCACTAAGAAAACCTTTCTATTTTAGCGGCATCTTTCTGTCCATTGGCGCTGGTGCGTTTTTCGGAAATAGCTTCGTTCCAACAATTTACATTCAAGGACGATATCCAAACGCAAGTCAACAGGGTAAGCAGTTTCTGCTAAGATGCCTAGTAAATTTTATATGCTAGTAATATTGGCCTTTTTAAAGAATATTAACTGGAGGTAGGAATAAAAAGTATTGAGGGAACGTTCGAATAAATTATTATAAACGCGCACTGTCCGGCCTAACTTTTTAAACCTTTGAATCAGGGATGGTAATAGAATTATACCGTGCATGCATTTTCAATGAAACCCCTTATATATAAAGCTGACTTTTGTGAAACTTGGTTTATAAGAATCCCTACCAAAAGGCCATCCAAAAAATGTCTTTTCTAATATCCCTTAGCGTATTATCATTCCAGGTGAGTTTTCTAAACATGATAACTGAGGAACGGTCTGGGAAATTTTACTAGACTGCCAGAAGAGATCTTATTACTTGCCATACTAGACGCTTGAGATCCATCCCATTTGTGTGTGTGTGGGTGCCTTTCTTTAACATAACTCTGTGCTAGTAAAATTAATTTCGTCAAACACCCAAGCTACTCTTCTTCTAATTGAGTCCCACATACACATACTTACTTTCTATCATGTCGCGCTAAAGCAGTGACACGCTAACAGAACCTAGTGGAGGGTGTCCCCTCCCGCCTGAGACGACTAAACTATCATTAGTTGTGGTTTCTGACATCTCAAGGCACTTACTCTCATCGCTTCTATTTAGGGGCTAGGTTTTAACTGTGGCCACTAACTGATGAAAAATCTCTTGCACCATTCTGCTTGGATTGCAATTTAATCCCAAAAAAGGCAAAACGTTTGCCTGTTAACAAATTTATAAATGACAGAGTGCCTCCTATCTCGTTGTAACTCTTCTAATTCGAGGGAAAAACATCCTAACCAGGATAGTCTTAGCATATAGCTTAGTGGTGACGTTGCATGGACTACAGCAACAGCACTGGAACGTGAATTACTTGTTAGCACCTAGACGAGACAATAAATTTCTAGATTTTGATCAGCATTCAACGCCTGTGCTTTTTGGTCGCCTAAACATCAATCTGTTCGATCTTTAAGGACTAGATTATGTGTTCTCCCACTTTGCTGGCATCTGGCTCACCTCCACCACCTACTTTGTCATCTACGCCTGCGTCAAACGTAATCAGCCCTGGGTTCCAGCACCCAATGCCATCTTGCCGGCGTTTTTGAGTGGAATTATCTGGTCGGCAGGGCAGTCGGCCTGGTTTGTGGCGAACGCAGCCCTCGGCGAGCCAATCACTTTTCCCATCGTAACCACGGTGCCAGCACTCATTGCCACGATTTGTGGTCTGGTATTCTTCAAGGAGATCACAGTGAGTCTGCTGAGTCCAACCGGTTATTTGAAGCTCAGTATACCTTTTATATTAATGCATTTAAGTACTAGTATTAATCTGGGTGAGAATATAATCCATTGGGCAAAATAACACTTATAAAAGCCAATTGTTTAAGGAAAAAACGGCCAAATTTACCTAAAATAGACGGCGTACCGCATAAAAAGTTAACCAAAGTACTAAAGATTACTTCACATTATAAATCATAAATTGTTGTAATAGCAATTATTGTACAAAATAATCCAAAAATATTTCAGTCACAGAAAGAGGCCGACTTTTAGTACGCTTCCACTCGACGGCCAAGGTAAAGTTAGTTAGCCCCCTTAGCGACCAAGTACTCCGGGATTGTGTTAAATTATAAGTGCTTGTAATAGGGGTTGAAGCGTGGGGCCTCGCCGCGGATAAGCAGCAAAGAAAGTAAAAGAAAACATGACAAATATGTAAATTTCCGCCACATTTATTCTTTTAGGCTTATATATAAAACAACGAAAAGGAGAGTGAGATTGCAAAAAATATCAAAAATCAACGCTAAATGAGCAAAGTGAACTTGTTATCCAAAGCCACTGTAAAACAACTTTTTGGCAAATTGCTACATCAATGTAGTAGTTTACACACGGATAAGTACTTTCCATGCTTATTAGATAATAAACCAAACAAAATTGGGCTGTGTACTTTAAACTCAAGGGGGCTTGTATAGCCTATCCGTAACCAACCGACTGCCTGTTGAAAGCGAACTTGTTAAAAATCATTTAAGAATAAGGTTTCGTCTGCCGGTTTTTGAAACAATCAGAAAGTTAAAATTACTTTTTATAAACCATGCAAAGGGATATAAATGCATGCACTCATTTAGTGCAATTAATCATTTTTTCAGATTTTATATTCCCGAAACAATATTGTTAGGTTATAAAGTTATTTTCAGTTCCAAATAATGTTGAACTGATTTGCGTTCGCTTTATGTCTATCCAAAATACAATCTTTGTATTTTCCCTACAAGGACAATCATATGTTCTGCACATCAATAAAAGGCTGCTATATAAGTCTCAAAACACCACTATTCAGTGTGGACTATGTTGTAAACTGTATAAGGCACATTACTAAACACACAAATGATAGATCATTAAAATAAATATTCGACGGTTTAACAGATACTATACAAACTTATTGAAAACCACAATATATATCTCCCTTCTTTAAGCAATAAA